GACTCCTCTGATGGAGCTCTGTCAGGTGTAGACTCCTCTGATGGAGCTCTGTCAGGTGTAGACTCCTCTGATGGAGCTCTGTCAGGTGCAGACTCCTCTGATGGAGCTCTGTCAGGTGCAGACTCCTCTGATGGAGCTCTGTCAGGTGTAGACTCCTCTGATGGAGCAGGAGCAGAAGACGGGAGGCTTGGAGGGTTTAATGTGGAGTTTAGAGACGAACCGTCATGTGCTGAAATACGTTCTGGATCAAATACAGTGAGAAACGGGACCGGAGGACAGTTAGCGTTTATGCAAATTAGCTTAGCATCATAGCACCAATGTTGTCCTATTATGGCGTCAGCCTCTTTTGTTAGTTAAAAATATGTTCAGAACATATGGGATGAGTAACTTAAAATATGTTTAAAGTTAGAAAACACTCACCATCTTCTACAAACGATTCAAGTAGAACCACCCTCCAATCGCTCCATCTAGCTCGCTTTGACATTTTTCGTTGGCCACCAAGCACAACAACACCTGCACTTCTGCATTTGACCACAGCTTTGACATTATTGTTGTTGTATAGCTTCAAAATACTAAAAGATACACTCCTCGAGTTATCGCTAATGGCAGGTGGTAGATAAAAATGGCGGATCGGGTTGTTTGGAAAGACTCCACAGACTCCTCCCCCTGACCAATCAGTGACCGACAGTGTTTCTGACGTTATGGCTTGGCTAGCTTGGACCCCTTGAGAAGCCGGGCCAGAATTCTGGGAAGTGAGCCGGTCCCAAGTACTAATGGAAAAGACCTCTAACACGGGTCAAGACGGAAATATTCAACCCACGCCGTGACAGTGGAAAAGGGGCACAAGTGTCCCTGTGATGGACCGGAGACCTGTCCAGGGTGTCCCTCGCACAGTGACGACTGGACTTGGGCACCAGTGACTTCCGCGACCTGAAAAGGAAGAAGTGGGCAATGGATGGATGAACATAAATATTATATACTTGGAAAAAAATAAAATAACCAACATGCATCTGATCCTTTAGAGTCTTGAATTTTCTTCAGAACAAATGTAGGCAGCTTTAATGTAAGACTGTTGCAAACAGTAAAAGTTATTAATTTTTTTCTAGCTGCCATAAATTATTGTCAGGCATTACAGGTGCATCGCAAAAAATTGGAATATCGTGAAAAAGTTTTGTTTTTTGTCAATCATTTCAGAAAGTGAAACTCGCATAGTCATACAGAGTGAAATATTTTCAGCCTTTATTTCTTGTAATTTTGATGATCATGGTTTACAGATAATGAAAAATCTAAATTCAGCGTCTCAGAAAACGAGAATATTCCTCAGCCAGTTTTTGGCACCTTTGTCAGTGTGGGTCGGCGCCGAGTTCTGCTGGAAAATAAAATCAGCATCTCCATAAAGCTCATCAGCAGAAGGAAGCATGAAAAGCTCTAAAATGTCCTGCTAGATGCTGCGTGGACTGGACTTCAGAAAACCCAGTGGACCAGAACCAGCAGAGGACATGGACTCAAACCACCACTGCCTGTGGAAACTTCACTCTGGACTTCAAACGAAGTGGATTCTGGACCTCTCCACTCTTCCTCCAGACTCTGGGACCTTGATTTACAAATAATAAGTTAAATTTGCTTTCATTTGAAAGGAGAACATTCGACCACTTGGCTTGATATATTTCACTGTGTGTGTAATGAATCTGTGTATTATACGAGTTTCACTTTCTGAAATGATTTACAAGAAAAATTGAACTTTTTCACGATATTCAAATTTTTTGAGCTGTACCTCCACTGTACTGGTCTCTTTTCACTTACTGCAATCAGCTCACCTCTAGTCAAGCTGGTACAATAATGTTCATTAAATCAGGTCCACAGAATATTTACTGAATAGTCAAATTCAAAATCTTAGTGGATAATGCCAATAAAAATCCTCCACCAGTATGCTCAACACTTGCCTCAGTTGTTTTTCTTTTGGTTTTGTGGTCACACATGAATGCTTCCAACCAGCAAATTGTCATTTCCCCCCAGTTATTCAAAATGAATGCAGATAAATTTTATATGAATGATAAAATTTCAATAACTGTGTCTACAAGTGCAGTCCAGTAATTTCCATTTATTCAAAACAGAAACATTTAGAAAATAATAACAGTATAGTAAGGTGCATGTTACACTTTCATTTTCAAATAGTGCTTGACATCCATTGTCAGTGATGTTACACAGAGCAACATAAAGAAGGGTGTTCCAGTCCAGAATACTGAAAAATATCACTAACAAATTACAACAAAATGCATGGATGACACAGGAATGCTATAAAGACTGGAGTGAAGAAAGACCACATGTAGTCTTTAAAGTTTTGGTTTTCTTCAGTTCTTCTCAACAGTGCCTTCCTTACGTTTTGGTCAAGGTGATGAAAGCCATTTGAATTTTAGAAAGTGATTTATGCTCCATAGACCAAATGTTCTTGATTTCTTCCAACACGAGTAAGCTTAAATAAAATGCATAAATAAGCAAGAGCAAAGAGAGGCAGCCTTAAAGAGTTCAGGTGAAAGGAGAAGCAGCAGTTTACTGGGATGTGTTGCCACTGCTGAAGCCCAAGAAATCTCACAGGCACGAGGCCAAAAGCAACAGTGGCAAACAAAGTGAAACTGCTCACTTTGAAAAGAAACAGCTGGAAAGATCTGAAAACAAAACCATTTTCAAACAAGTTGGTTTGTCACCTTTTTTAGATGTGTGCTTTTGAGATTGCCAATCCCAAGATGATGAAGAAGCACATTTTCTCCGAGTTATCCAAGGGACTCTACTCAGACCTCCTGGCTCGATCCATATTTAGCCCAGAGGGTCTGTGGACTATTCTTTCTGGGAGCTACATCAAACTGTTTGCAAAGAAATCAATTCTTGACTATTTCTAAAAGCTGAGAAAAATAAATAGACAGAAAGGCTACATCTTACTGTAGAAACATGGGGTGCTTTCAAGCCCGTCAACCGTTTTTCTCAACATATCTTGATCAGCATATGCTTTTATAAAGACATTACAGAGATCTGTGCTGATAGTCATTTAAACAGTATATTACATATTTATAAACACCATCAAATAATTTCTTTTTAAGGCAAACCGCTGGAAAAACAAGATTATCAGAAGAAAAAGAAGTTTGCAGTTGAAAACCTGCTTCATATGCCAGGGCTGCTTTGTCTTTTTTAGGACGTGCATCTTTACGTCTGAGCAAGTTTGTTTCCTGGCCAGAATGATGAACATTAAATCTACTCAATACATCAGAAAAAACACACACACACACACACACACACACACACACACACACACACACACAATACTGTCCACAACAAAACAAGTTAGTCTGATTTAAGCGGCTCAAGTTGAAAGAGAAAGGTCAGTCATGTATAGACTTCAAAGATCTGCCAGTATGCTACGTTAAGGCCAGAGCAAAATTAAAGCCAATCTGTTCTGTAATGACATCCCATAATTTACAAGTTGTAAGGAAGAATTCACACTAACCAAAACTTCTTAAATTAGTAAAAGGTAATGGTTGGATGACTAAGGAGCACCTAAGTTTTTGGACATGTACAACCTGTGGCACAGGTGTGATGTTAGCCGTGTGGCTGAGTGTCACAAAGAAGGGCATACGAGGCGTCCCAGTCAACGCTGCACTGTCCACGAGCGAGGACACCAGAACAGCAGGAGGAGGACTCTTCTTACAGTTTGGGTCATGGGTGGTCATCACGATTGCCTGTGAACACTTTGTAATTTTTGTTTATGAGCTCTCCAGAGCATCCAGAACTTTCATGATCTGCTGCTTGATGACTTTTGTGGCGTCGCCTGCATTGGGTATTAAATATCTGAAAGAAGAGAAAAATATTGTGTTAGCTTAAAGAAAACACTTAAAAACTTGACTAAACTTGTCATAAGTGACTAATAACAAACATCAAAACTGTTAGAACCCCTGCAGAGTTAAACCTATACATTTATTTTGCAATGTTGGCAAATTTTTAAATGTTTCAGTCTTTCTCCTCCTTAGATGCATTAATCTGTCCTCCAGCTCTAATGTTAAAAATCTTGATGTTATTTTTGATCAGAACACGTCTTTTATCCCCCACATTAAAAAGGTTACTAGAACCGCCTTCTTCCACTGGTCCTATGGTTTGGATCTGCTCAGAGACAGGATTGCAATGAAATTATGACCCGGTTCTAACTGGGTTAAACTGGGCCAGCAACTCTAAAGAGTTTCCCTGGGACTCAATATCTGTCACGGGATAGAATTTAATCTGCTTGCCACATCACGTAAAAAGGCTTTTTGAAGCACCGTCTCATATTTCCTAACACGTCAGAACCACATATGATCCATTGAGATCACACTTAGCCACGCCCCCGAGCTCCCCTTCTGTGAAGGAGGAGTCTAGGACCCTATAAATGAGTAATGGCACGGGACATCGGGGCTCTTCTTCCTGGTCTGTGAACGCGTCACAGACGGGAGAGTCCAGCGCTGTAAATTGTAACCTTTCCCTGCCTTTTTTAATATAATTGATAAAACTTAATTGACGCTTCCTTGATTTATTGATAATGAGAGTTGCCACTTCTGAGGGAGGTTCGAGCCGGGGGGAAAGACGTGGGCTGGAGGTGGTTTCCGGGTTCGGTGGCCCGCAGCCAGCTCCCGTCTTTAACAGTAATATTGCTAAAATTAGAAACATCTTATCTAAAACTGATACAGAAAAACTGGTCCATGCATTTGTCACGTCTAGACTGGACTATTGCAATGGTTTATTATCTGGGTGCCCAAATACTTCTTTAAAACATCTTCAGTTGATCCAAAATGCTGTCCCTTAGTTATGCTGCTATAGGGTTAGACTGCTGGAGGACAAACTGACCACACTTTTCACTCTGCTACTGTCTTTACTTACTCTGCTCAACCCGTTTTGTATTTAGGCCCGAGCAGCGAAGCACTGCAAAGGCCTATTGTAATCGCTCTGTTCAGGCCTGAGCAGCAATTTTTCCGTCAAATGAGTTGGTGTTTTGGGGGCTTTAACATATCCCAAAAGTCAACAAATTTGGCAGATGCATCAGGACTGCTGAAAAATTACTTATTTTAAGGGCGGGGTAAAAATCAAAACAGAAACAGATCAAGAGCTCCAACTAGAAATTTTCAAAATACCCTCCGCATTAACCTTAATTTGTCATAGAAACATGAAATTTGGTACGCTTGTCCAATTCCCCAAGATGTACGGAAAACCTTCTGGCACCAACGTTGTACAATAAACAAGAAGGCGGCCATTTTGGAATGCCAGCCCAATTTTCACACCTTATTGGCGGTTTACAACCTCCGCATTTGAACAAACTCCTCCTAGGGATTTCGCTCAATCGGTTTCAAACTTGACCATTTTGTTCAAAAGGCATGGGGGACGCAACGTTATCTAAAAGGTGCATGCTGAAGGGGCGGGGCCAGACCTCAAAGTTTGACATCTCGCCATGAAAAACGAAACGCTAATAGCTCCTACAAGAAAACTGTCTGAGACATCAAACCTTCAGTGATTGATCCACATCTGGTCCCCTGCAAGATTGAATGGTCAAATCATGACATCACTTAAGCCATGCCCCCTGACAACAGGAAGTATAAAGTTTTACTTTGAACGATCCCTATCTGACCCCTGTTACCTGATCAGCATGATAATGCGTCCAGTGACCGAAGACATGTTGGTGTAACTTGCTTTCCAACACTGACAGTTTTGGGTGGAGCATGTGGGCGGTGCGGCGTGGCGAAGTAAGATGTAACGCCGTCGCCATATGTTTGGCTCAAAATTCCAGTTTTGAACCGAGGTGCACCAAAATCAGTATGATCGATCAATATCTACCCCTTGAACAGGAATCCATGATAAGTGGCCAATAGCCTCCACAGCGCCCCCTAGAATCATTTAAAACCTCAGCCCCAAGCCATTTTTGGACCGATAATTCTGAAACGCGGTGAACATCTATATCTTCTCAGGACCTATGAAGAAGTCTCTTGGAGCCATGGTCCAAAACCAACAGGAAGTCGGCCATTTGGGGTCAAAGGGTCATTTTTGCGCGCTTCTAATTGTGAATTTGAACAAACTCCTCCTAGGAAACAGATAAGATGGTCTGACTTGATTTAAAGCACAAACCGTTTTTGCTTGAGGATGTGGGCGTGGCGGTGTGGGAAATTAGGAAGTGACATTGTTGCAATATGTTTGGCTCTAAATTGCACAGATTTCAGCTGAGGTGCACCAAAATCACCATGATCGATCATTATCTGCCCCTTGAACAGGTATCCATGTTAAGTGGCCAATAGCCTCCACAGCGCCCCCTACATTATTCCTATAGTTATAGCTCAGTGACACAACATCCGATCTGCACCAGATTTATTGTGTATCATCAGTGAAGACTTTTACACACATTGATATTGTGATTTAACATATGACTCTAGTGCACCCCCTAGATTATCCCAACAGTTATATCTCAATGATACATCATCCTATCCATACCAGATTTTTGGTGGGGCATCTGTGAGCATTTCTAGACACACTGGTATTGTTGTTTAACATTTGACTCAAGTACGCCCCCTACATTATTCAAACTGTTATATCGCAATGATATATTATCCGATCTGCACCAGATTTTTTGTGCATGATCAGTAAGCACCTTGTGTTATTTAACATTTGACTTGAGTGTGCCCCCTAGATTATTCCAAAAGTTATATCACAGTGATACATGATCTGATTTGAACCAGATTTTGGGTGTGTAATTAGTGAACACTTCTAGACACATTGGTTTTGTTTTTTAACTTTTGACTCCAGTGTACCCCCTACATTATTCCAACAGTTATATCTCAGTGAAATATCATCCAATGTGTACCAGATTTTGTGTGTGTGATCAGTGAACACTTAGACACATTGATATTGTCATAATTCTTTGTTGAAATCAGGTCTCTCTTGTAAATGAGTCCTTGAGGCTCAATGGGATTTTCCTGTCTAAAGGTTGAATGAATATTGTTCTTTAACATTGGACTCAAGTGCTACATTATTCCAACAGTTATGTTTCAGTGATACATCATCCAATCTGAACCTGAATTTTTGTGCTTCATCAGTAAGCACTTGTAGACACATTGGTATTGATGATAAATGACATCACTTAAGCCCCACCTACTCAGAGAAAAAACTGTTGATTATTGGAAGACTCTTCCAGCTTCGCCCTGTGTAAGATATTAGACTGCAACTTTGTTCACTAACTGATGATTAACACACATGACATGTTGAAAAGCTTAAAGGAAGTGCTTGTCAAACATTTGCAAGAAAACAGGAAGTCACCAGAACTCTTGTCTGGAAGGTCAGATTTTGCCTATACTTGTAAGAACTGCAGCTGGACAAGTACTGACATGGACGGAAGGTGATGTCGAAGATTCGGGAAATGGCCCTGTGGTGAACGCGTGCGGGATTGACACGAGAGAGTTCGTGATGGCGACTGGGTGGACTAGCTAAAGCTCCCGCAGTTGCCGTAAGGCCGAAGCGGCGCTTTGCTGCGAGGGCCTCCAATGCTGCTTGCAACTTTAATTATTATTTTTTTCTATACTTAACATGTGTGTTTTTCTTTTTTTGTCTTTCAGGTACACCTGGACCTATATCTGGACCTACCATTCTGTGTTCGTCTGTCTCTCCTTCCTGTCCTCTCAACCAGCCGGTCAAAGCAGATGGCCTCTTGTCATGAGCCTGGTTCTGCTGGAGGTTTCTTCCTTTTAAAAGGGAGTTTTCCTTTCCACTGTTGCCACTGTGCTTGCTCAGGATGGGAGACTGCAACGAAGCCAAGATTCTAGTTGTCTGCTGCTTCCTTAGATAGAGAACTTTATTAATTGGCTTTATGTGAATGTTCCTGTAAAGTCCCTGAGACAACTTTGTTGTGATTTGGTGCTGTATAAATAAACTGAATTGAATTGAATGTTGTTATTTTCATACGTGCAAACTTGTCACTTTTGGACGCTAGCTTAGTGCTACGTTAGTGCCTGTAGGAGCCATTTATCTTGTTTTTCTGTGTTTATCTCCACTAGGGGGTGTATTTCATTGTGTGTACTGAATATGTCAGCAGAGGAAGGTGGTTACTTAAGGGCAGGTGTGATTCTGTTCAGGTGTTGCTAATGAGAAGGGGCAAACAGTTTTCTACTGTGCTTAGTTTAGAGTCAATGCACATTTATTGGTTTTCTAAATGGATATGGCAATGTAAATGGACATTGTGAGGAAAATAAATGACTGATTTATAAGTCGAAATGAAGATCTGCATAGTGAATCTTGATTGAGTGCATGTAAAACCAAAGCCTACCAGGAACAAAAGCAACCAGTAGCCTAAAACATAGGATTTTAGCTGCTACAGTGCCTATCTATGAGTTATCGTTGAGTAGGCCTATCACTAAATCAGAAAAAAGTAAAAGGCCCCCTAAATACACTGTTGGCAGTGATCAAAATGTTTGTTGGGTAAAGTTAATATTCTTATTTTTAAACATGCAATTCAGTGTGACTATTGCTTAGCACAATGGCAAGTTCTGTTACAAATAAAACTAAATAAAAAATAATCAAAGTCAAGTGCACCTGTAAATTATGCCACAATAATTTCATTATCTTATCCATAGGAGTGAGTTTAAAAACAGAATAATTCATATACTGGACTCCTGGCAGGGACCAATGCAGACATGTTCCTATTTTTAGTTTTCTACATTCGCCGTAGAATCTAGCAGTTTTTTTGTTTTGTTACCTTTTTCTTTTAGCCATCCTATTTGTAAAAAAAAAAAAAAAAAACCTGCAGTATGACTTTTTATAACTGTTTATTGTTGTTGCTGTTGTCC